ACGAGGACGCTTGCGTCCGAGTGCTTTAACGTTATAATAGTTCAGGGTGATGCAATCCGATTTTGAAAATAAATTGTGGCTTCTCAAATGTTTTTCAGCGTCCATTGACTCCTCTATATGCATCGTGTTTGTTATTTATGAGACCTTTATTCAAGGCAAAAAGACTCCCAACGTTTTCGAAGCGAGAAGCAGAAGCTGACTGACTGATTTGTGCTAGTATATATGGAGCTCAGCTTATAAAAAACTGGTTCTAGACTCTCTTTGTGCTACTATAGACGGAGCCCAGCTTAAGAAGATGATGCAATATCAGGATAGACCCGTTAAACCGAGCACTTGGTTTTCAAGTCCTCTGTGGCTCAGTCGGATGACTGGTGGGGTACGATCAAGGTGCAGAGTTGCGCAGCTCTGTACTGAGGTTCGAAGCCTGCCGTTCACCATTGAAACACTTTGGTACAATCAGGAGCTCTCGATGAGGGCGTAGTCGACACAACTCCATGGGAGAACACCAGCACACCAACAACAACAAACAAACAATATTTCTCCCTCCGTGGGTTGTGGCCACAGGGGCATTTTACTATTTTTTCATTTAAACTTTTTTTAATACTAGTTTTATCTCACATTTTTTAAAATGCAGCCGTGATATTGAGCGATGACTTTATGGATGGGGTTAATCAAAGTCAGCTATGGAGTATACAAATTTTAATAAGGGGGTAATAACGTGTCGTGAGGTACGATCATCAACTCTTCTCTGACACATGCTCTCGGCAGCCCGTCTTTCAAGTAATACAAGTACGGTTCACCATCTTTGATGTTGACAAGGTCTACGTTGTACTTTTTCATGGACCATATCGGATCAGTGGCGCGTTTTCTGCTGTCTCCCTCGTATTCTCCCGGCTGGTACAAGTACCTAACGCTGACTCGGTCCGGTAATGTTTTCTCTGTTTTATCGCGACGTGCTGCTGCTGATTCGGTAGTGACAGATTTCATATTGATGGCTTCAACGGGTCTCTTGCCCACGAGTCTGGTGACTTCGTTGTTGATGGCATCCACCACTCGCGACAAGCGTACGACCCATTCCGTGTTTCTGTTTTTGGGATCCATTAAATCCCGCGAGTACTGATGTGAGAACAGGCGTTCGGCTAAGGTGTGATTGAATCTTTGGACTATGGCTTGGCTTCGGTGAGCTCCGTCCACGCCTCGTCTCATCTGAACTTTGTGCTTGGCCAGCAGTTGTGACACGGCTCCCATGAACTCGCATCCTGGATCGATTTGCAATACGGCAGGCCAGGTCAAGCGACTGCGTTTGTATATGCGTTCTAAGGTTTTGGCGACTTCGTTCGAATCTTTGGTCATCAACGGTTCGGCTTCCTTGTAGGGACTGGCGACGTCGACGATTGCCAGGGCATACTTGTAAGTTTTACGCCTCACCCTGTCGTGAGGTAGAAACAGGAGGTCGGCTTGGTGGACGCGATTCGGCGTCAAAATGTCGAATTTTCTTCTCGGGATGTACCTTGGCGCCGGCAGGTAGACTTGCCAGATGGCTTTTTTTTTGAGCCAAGCTTTGGCTTTCTCTTCCGAGACTCGAGCTGCTTTGGCGAGTTTCGGGATGGCGTCCTTGCCTTTCCAGTACCCGCGCGGGCTGTAATACATTTTCTCCATGATGTATGTATTGCTTGCGATTTACTATTCAATACGCGTGTGTCCGTACGCGTAAGTGGTGACTCCGTTGATGGTGATCCATCGTTTCGTGTCCATGGGAGACAGCGACGTCTTGTTGATTGTCAGTCCATATATCCTGTGTCCGTCGCTTCTCAGCATGTTCATGTGGTGTTTGAACGTTTTATTCTTGAACAGGGCTTCCTTGAAACTGGCGTGTTTGATGTGTTTTTTCACCACATGTTTTTTTCACGCCTTTTGCCTTTCTGATTTCGTCGTCTGCTTTCTTAATGGAATACATCTTGGGTTTTCAAGATCAAGCCAACGTACTCGGTGATCGACGTGCCCACGCATTCGTCCTTCATCTTGTCGAGCACTTTTTTATTGGCGGTGTCGTGCATAGGGTGATCTTTAGGGTAGTCGCTGGTGTTGTACAGGTGCATGTTTTTCTTCATGTCCTCGTACACGTCCTCAGTGCGAATTTCCATCAGCAGGGAATCCGTGTCCGTGTACAGCACTTCGCACTTGTCGCCGTACTGCTTTTTTAACTCGTTGTAGTAAAAGTCGTACATCAAGTGTTTGGATAAGTCGAGGATGCACGTAAATGGTTCGGTTGAATTTGATGTGGCTTTTGCTCATGTGCAGCGCTGCCAAGTCGTCACGTTAACACGTTTTCTCAAATTCTCCATCGTCTTGCCGAACACCGAGTTGTTCATTAGCTTGTACAAGTTTTTCTCGAAGTCGCTGGTGGCCAGCTTTCTTAAGTCCGTGTTCGTTCTGATGTAGGGTTCCATCCAAGGACTTTGATCGAACTGGAGCGCCCTCTGTATTTTCATGAGTTTCATTCCAGCGACAAGTACAGCTGCGATAGTGAACGATGTATTTTGTCTTGTTCATCAAGTACGAGTTTTTCGACGTTAGCCGGCTTATTGTTTTCCAGCAAGTTTCGTTGATATTCGGACATCCAGTCCGGGTTCACCGTCAATCGTTGCGGGAGCTAAGGGATAGCTGTTGTGCGATTCGTGTAATTCTCGGGGGTACTCCAAGTCCACTTCGAATATGTAGCCTTTGTTCGAATCCGGTGCGATGCTATTCACGGCGATATCGGTTGGGGAGACCCATTCGAATCCCCCGGTGGGGAGATACTGACTCATGGCCCAGCCGTATAGGTTGTTGGCGTCGAGATCGAGGATGTGTTTGGTCGGTTTGCTCGGGTTGTGACCGGGAACGTACTTGTTGTTGGCTTTGGCGTACTGTTTGGATGTCATGGAAATCCCGCCTCACAGACCTTTTTCCACGAACAGGTGCATGTCGTAATCCATCAGTAGTTTCAGTTCAACGCCGTTTTTTTCAACAAGGCGTCCCAAGAGAGACCGGGGTTGAGAAATACCATGCGGGGTCCAGTCCGTACTGTCTCGAGCACATTTTTCTGAATATCTTGAACACGTCGGCCAGCAGCAGCACGTCCGTTTTCAAGTACAGGTCATGGTAATCGCCTAAATGTTTACAATCCAGCTTGTTCCACACATTGAAGACGTGTTCGTAATCGTCCTGGGTGATAGCCGAATCGGTCAAGTTGCTGTAAAAGCGGTCCATGGGAGGCAGTCGCGTCTCGTCCAACTTGGACAAGTCGTCCATGTACTCGTATGGGTAGACGCCCTTTCTCAGCAGCAGAGGTCGAGTATCGGCGTTGGTGTATCGATTGGTGATGTCGAAGTCGTTCGGGTCGTTGGCGTTCACTTGACTGTCTAGAGACGACAGCAGGAACTGAAGGCTGTCGATAAATCTCAGACTGTCTAAGGAGAACGAGACGTATTTTTCCATGTTGTTGGGAATGCCCGTCAGGTTGCCGTCGACCTTCGCGATGGCCTGCATGATCAGGTGAGAATCGTAACCACGAAGATTGTGAAACACGACGGGGATGTTGATGGTTTTGGGATTGATTTTTAGCTTCAAGTTGCACGCGTTGTGAGCGGCGCCTCTGTACTTATCGGTGATGTGGCAGTGATCTCTCACGACATCCCCGTTCAGGGGTTCGTCGCACACGTGGCAATTCTTAGCCTTCCTATGAGTTCGCCGGTTGTCCTACGTCATGCGCATGGGGACGATGGTGTACAACTGTTTCCTGTGTTCTCAAACACGTGAGAAATCGTTCGGCCGCGTTGGGACCTCAGTAGACCATGGGAGCGTTCGTTTGTCCGTCGCATCAAACGACCATGTACCCAAACCCGCAGGCTTCATGCTCTTGCATTTTGTGTGTGAAACTTTTATCCGGGGACGGAGCGACGGTGTCGACGGTTTTGATGAGGGCTTCGAAGTAGATGACGTAAGGCACGGGCATTTGATGATTGTGGTTGACGAATTTTAAGATGTTGTCGTTTTCGTCGGGCATGTCGATTCGGACGGCCGTCTCTCCCACGCCTCGGCAATCCTCCCGGTGAGATTCCAGCAGGTCGGCTCGCGTGTTTTTTCCCATCGTATTTAGATTGATCGTACAACAGTCTGCTGAAACTCTTATCCACGCGTCGTTCATGGATCTGATCCTGTGCACGATAGGTGTGTTCACCATCGTGGCCGCACCCATGGTGCTAGGCATCGAAATAACAGCCGGAGTGGTAGTGTTGATGGGATTGACACTTAACTTCGTATCTCGCAGACTGCAACGTAAAGCATTGAAACACGACGAAATTAGAATTCTAGCCGAAGCGAAGCTAAACACGATAGACGATCATATTTCCACCGTGCTCACTGACTCTAAAATCTCAGAGGAAGAGTTTCGTTTGGTGCTCTCAGAAATCGCCAAGTACCACAGAATGAAGCAAGAGATTCGAACCAAGACTCGTAAACGCAAGCGTCCTCGTACTTTAACTATAATAGTTCAGGGCGAAAGTGTGTTTTATTACACTATACATGATGGTAGAGCGAACTGTATTTCTTAAATAAAGTATTGTCGGCGCCTTTGATCTTTCACCGAAGCATCTTAGAAAGCAGGCTAGCTATTCTCGAAACGTTCGTAGCTCTACAAACTTCTTAAGCCCATTCTTAACACATTGGCTACCATCAATGTTAAGAATTCTTAGGGCTACGAACGTTTCGAGAATAAGGGCCCAGTTTCAAAAGGTAGATATCGAGCGCGTACTCCAACCGCTGCTTATTGGCAAAACGGCCATTGTAGAACAATACCATCATCACTGGGTAGTCTTCCCATACCTTCAGTCTTGGTGTTAGTTTTAACACTGGTATGGAATTCCATTGTGACATATCAAGTCACGTGTTTCTGTAGTTCTGTCAGTCTTTCGTTGTCGATCGATGCCTTCCTTTAAGATAAACAACCGTTATTTCAGATCGACTCCTGTGTACTTCCTGTGGCTGAAGTACCTGTCCTGGTACCAATATGCCTTTGAAATCACGGCGGTTGTGCAATGGCGGAATATACAGTATCTAGGTAGGTGCTTGCCAGATCTCTTCACAGTAGTAGTATTATAAACATGGGATAATCAGTTTTCATAATCCTAGGAAATCTGTGGGAAAAACATAGTCCATTGCGCGATTACGGCTCACAAACACGATTTTATGAATCACAATCAAATGATGATACAAGGTGCGCGCGAAACAGCGAGTTTACCGGTGACGCCCTTTTCACAGAGTCGGGGTATAACAGTATGCGATCAAAGCCTAACCATCCGATCCCCTTTTTATCTCGCTCTGAAGGGTGGGGCATTCTATTCGTCACATCCAGTTAGGGTATACCAAGTGGGATTATAGCTCTGATGAATTCATTTATCTTCCTAGCTGCCGTACAGTACAAGACAACCGTTACTAAGGTTGAACTGAGGTTACTAAGGTTAACCAACAGGTAACGAGCTGACCAGGGAACTATTCTCCACCCTCTGTTACAGAGTGTCCGGCTGGTAACAGAACGTCGGGGAACACGACGGAGCCCAAGGCACGTTGTTTCAGAGATGGCAAGGATGTTATAGACTACCTCAGCTTCAGTGAGGTGAGCCATGTTCATACTGCCCCTGTATGTTATAACGTATATACACCACCATACAACACCATACCACACACACTATATATACACACACACACACACACTATATATACAACACACACACACACACACACACACACACACACACACACACACACACACACACACACGGCATATAATGACATCTATATATACACTACATGATGAAAACTAATACATAATGACACCTATATACAATACATAATGACACCTATATATATATATATATATATATATATATATATATATATATTATATACACACACATAATACATAATGACACGTATATAAATATACAATACATAATGACACCTCTCTCTCTATATATGTATACAATACATAGTGGCACCTATATATACAATACATAATGGCACCTATATATACAATACATAGTGGCACCAATATATACAATACATAATGACACATATGTATACAATACATAATAACACCTATGTATATACAATACATAATTGCACCTATATATGCAATACATGACACCTACATGTACAATACATAATGACACCTATATACTAGTACAATACATAACGTGTGTACAATGTGTGTGTATGTGTATATTTGTATGTGTGTGTAATCGCACCTGTATAAACAATATATGACACCTACATATACAATACATAATGGCACCTATATATACACATGTAATACATGACACCAGTGTGTATAATACATAATGACACCTATATATACAATATCTCCCTCTCTCCAAATTCCCATATCATCATAAGTATCATAATGTTATGACACCTATATGCACGTTACGACACCATATACAATTAGGATACAATACCTATACATGAAACCTGGTTTGTCATTGCAGGACAACCTCATGCTTGACGTGATTCTCCTTGTCACCCTCCTCGTCTTCTACCGACTGGTATCGTTCCTCATCCTCCTGCTTAAGGCCAGGAGGTCTAGGTCGTAGCGCAACACAAACCAAAATCCAGACACTCGGCGCCAGATTGAAGGAATGATGGCAGGGCCTCGAGACCGCCCCGAAAGAAGATGTGTATCTCAAACTATGACACATACGTGTGGGATATAATACATGTGTCAATGTCATCCAGTTGTAACACCTTTATTTTGAGACACCTACAAATGGACTTTTATCTCGTTAATATAATGCACTTAGCAATGTAGTAGGAATGTTTAACGATGTGAAAGCAGGTTGTGCTGATCACAGGGTGGATACAGCTTTTTGAGAAAGGGAGGGGGCCGGGGATGCAGACTTCATTTTCACCCGTTTTCACGACCCCCCTGGATCCGCATGTGCGATCATGTTTCTAGCACACCCTGATATAACCCCTTTAAAACGGCCTACTCCATTTCTAAGTAGTATTGTTAGATTAGCAAGATGATTATCGCATTTTATGTGGCGAGATTTAGAAACATGATTTATGCCCTGGTCACATATACCTGAAAAAAATCGTCCGATACCTTGGCGGTCTGGCAGGTGCCTGCACGGTCACTGGTGGGTTGCCGGAAGATGTGCCACAGGTCCGTTACCGATGGGAGTGTGGACCACCGGTCGCCGTACGAATATAACTTCCGATTTGTCTGCGATGTGTCGACGGGTCTTTCCATACAGTCTTTCCGATGTCAAAAACATAGCCGATGCCTGCGGATGATTGTCCAGCTCCCCGTCGGGTATCTCTCAGTTTTGCCGATTTTCAGCCCGGTCTGGCATATTAAACTAATCATTCATTGCAAAAGCTGATATGTGACCTTGGCACAGCACAACCTGTGTTTAACGTGAACAAAATGTTTATCAATCCAATTAATACATTGGATACATTTGAAAACAATCAGCACAAACTGTTTATGTCTTCAAAATAATTCAAGATATTTTGTATTTTCGTCAAGTGACATTTCTGGTGCCCCACGCCGTCATATTGCTGGAATATTTCTAAAAGCGGCGAAAAACTAAACTCACTGAACGAGATGATTAGGACTCTCGTGAAGTGGTCACATTTTGAAACATATCTAGCACTATCTGCTTTAAGGTATTTATAGTGGGGCGGTTAAGGCCAGGATTTTGTCAAAATTGTGCACTTTGGTTTAAAAGCACCCAAACTGGCACACTTATATATTGAACCATTCTGAACATTTCTGGATATGGATCCACCTCACAGTGCCCCCTGGTGGCTGAAAATCCAAGATGGCCGCCAATTTGACTGAAATCTCTAATGATGTCAGTCTATGCTCAACATTATCATAATTATCTTATCATATTCAGTATTTTCTTTCAGGATTTCTCTTAACAGTGCTGTATGTAATTCACATCTTGTAGGTTGTTCCTCCTGGTGTTGTCAAAATTCCAAGATGGCCGCCAAAATTACATTTTATAAGAATTTTTCTTGTTTTTACAACACAATGTCAGTATTATTTGTTCAGTTCAATTCAATTGGGGATTAAACAATTCCAAGTTATGTGTTATTGAATGTTTTAGCTCTTAATACCAAAATTATTCCCATTTAAGTAAAATTTAAAGTATTACATTTTGTTATTTATAAATATTAAACACAATGTAACATGATGAATACATTATTTATCCATTTAATTATGTTCAACAATGTTTATTGGTTTAGAGCTATGCATTTTCAGAAATATACAGTCAATATATACACATATGTGTTTTGGCTGTTTGATGGTCTTTTATGATTGCTAAATGAGATCAGTTCTTTTGCAAGTAGTATTGGAATTATCTCCCTTGAGTAATGTAAGATGGCTGCTTGTAGCAGACGATACATTTTGCAGAGCAGTCTTATGATGGATATACCTTAACGGTAGGTATAAAACACACATCAGACGTCATTCAGTAAGATATAAGAACACAGAAACAAAATCTAAGCACAAATAAGGTGTTTCATGCATTTTTCTCTTAGAATAACACACATTTTCATACTCAAGAGTTTCTCACAATTCTTTAGCAGTTTAACAAAATACCATGCAAATAATATGCATTGAATGTTTAATTTAACCTAATTAAGGCATTTTGATAAAATTGAGGAAACTGTGATATAAATATTGACTAATAAATAATAATGATTTAAAATTTGTGCTCTCAAATCTTTTTCCTATATGCTATTTTCTTGACCACTCATTTTACTAGTGTATAGAGACCTGAAATGAAAACATATTTTAATTTTTTTTTTATATAAACATTGATTTAAGGACTTCTATTTCATGTCTCATTCCACCAAACCATTGCTATGCCATATTAAGATTAACAATCTCTGTTTGTGTTTATTCACAGGTTAAAGTCAAGATGTAGACTGTGAACACCGGTGGCCATGTCTAAACATTATGATGTTATTAGTGCCGACCCAGGAATAAATTCTGAGCAGTCAGGCAACTCTATAGATTGGAAGCAATGTATCTTTTGCCAGAATATTAGTAAAGAGCCATTGCAATGTCCTGCTAAATCCAAAAGAAAAGATGTTGGTGCTGGGTACAAATATGTTGCAGAACATCTGCTTCAGTTCAGCAAGATTAAAGCACTACCATTAAATGTTAGCATTCAGCACCTCGATGATGGCAGTGGGATTGAGAATACATTAAGCGTTCATCATGCTGTATGGCACAAATCATGTCGAAACAAAGTAAGCAATTTGAGATTTGAAAGAGCAAAGAAACGAAAGAATGAAGACAGTGATGAAGCATTTCCAGTGAAGACCAGGAGTTCTTGTTTTGATCAATCATTGACACAGGACAACATTGACGTATGTATCTTTTGTGATGACAGTGGTGGTACTGCAGGACTTCATAAAGCATCTACCTTTGATGTTGATTTCAAAGTAAGAAAATGTGCTACAGAACTTCAAGATACAAAACTCCTTGGAAAACTGTCAGCTGGAGATATGATGGCAATAGATGCTCAGTACCATGCACGATGTTTGGCTATGCTATACAAACGTGCACAGCTCAGAGACAGACATGAATCTCAGAATTCAAGTGATGATTCTCTACATGGTATAGCCTTTGCTGAACTCATCTCTCACATTGAAACATTAAGGAATTCATTTGAAGTGAGGCCTGTATTCCGCCTGGCAGATCTGCGAAATCTATACTCATGTAGACTGCATGAACTTGGTTTAGATTCTGCAACTGTACACACAACAAGACTAAAGAATCGAATATTGTCAGCAATTCCAGATCTGAGAGCACACAATCAAGGCAAAGAGGTCTTACTGGCATTTGATAAAGATATTGGTCTGGCACTTAAACGTGCTTGTAGTCATGATTATGATTCCGAGGCATTGGTACTAGCTAGGGCAGCAACAATTATCCGCAGAGATGTCTTTAGCTTGAAACAGACTTTCAGAGGAACATTTCCTCCTGATTGCAACGAACAGTCTGTTCCTGCCAATTTGAAAGCCCTTGTCAGTATGATTTTGGATGGACCAGGTATAAAGGAACAATCCTCAAGAAGAGATCAACAGTCCCTAGCATCCCAAACTATCTCACAACTTCTTGTCTTCAACAGCGTGAAAACTAGGAGCACTAATGAATCCTCTGCAACAAGACACCACAGAGATCGAGAAACACCAGCACCAGTTTACTTAGGATTAAAGATCCATGGTGAAACAAGAAAACGTGATCTGGTTGACACATTTCACAATATGGGTTTGTGCATTTCTTATGACCGTGTCTTGTGTATTTCAACAGACATAGCCAACAGAGTCTGTGACATGTACAAGGACGAAGATTTGGTATGCCCACCACAACTCTCAAGAGATGTCTTCACAACAGCGAGTGTTGATAACATTGATCATAATCCCAGCTCTACAACAGCAACAGATTCCTTTCATGGTACAAGCATTTCATTAATGCAGCACCCATCAGCTGAATGGAAGGGAACAGCAAATACAGTTCCACTGATTGGAGAGAGTAGTCAAAACAGGAAGACCATTGCCAAACTGCCGTCAGTCTACACCAATGTTCCCTCTGCATGTTTTACCAAGACGGATCATTATGTGCCTCCCTTAAACGGACCTTTCACTCAAGATGTACAGGATTTTAACACAATACTTGATCATGAGTATGAGTGGTTGGAACATGTGAAGGAACTACTGGGAAAAGAAGAATTGGGAAATAATGATTTCCTCTCGTGGGCAGCATTCAATGCATCATTACAGTCCCCACTAACAGATCCTCCAACCACAACTGCACCACTGTTTCTAGAATGTGCACACTCCGTTGCTATGATACAGCATTCAATGAATGTGGTAAAGAAGGCCGTTGAGCACTTAAATCCAGGTCAGATACCTGTACTTACCATGGATCAATCATTGTATGCAATTGCTAAAAAAATCCAGTGGAACTTTCCAGAATCATATGGTGAATCCAGTTTCCTTATTATGTTTGGTGGATTGCATATTGAAACAGCTGCATTCAGGATCCTCGGAGACTGGCTTGAAGGAAGTGGATGGACAACTGCAATCTGTGTTGCTGGTATTGCCTCAAGCGGCGTTTCTGATTCCTTCATCAAATGTACCCACCTCGCTAGAACAAGACATGCCCATCAGATCACGGCAGCTGCACTATTCCTACTACAACACCAGGCATATGCTCACTATAAGGAAGCAGAAGCAAACAAAGAAGACCTTTTGACTTTCAGAACCTGGTGTGATGCAAAGTCAGCTTCCCAACCAGAGTTTCAGTACTGGTCCCTTGTTCTTGAACTTGAACTTTGCATACTGTGCCTGGTGGGTGCAATTCGAACAGCAGATTTCCCAAAGTATGTATCATCACTTGTGAGATTAATACCCTGGGTCTTTATGTTAGACCATGTGAACTATGCACGATGGCTTTCAGTTCATATCAGAGACATGTCTTCTTTGTCAGTCGAACACCCAGCACTTTACCACAAATTTTGTTCCGGTGGATTTGTAGCACGTAAAACTAAACGACCATTCTCTGCTATGGCACTAGATCAGGCTCATGAACAAGTTAATGCTCTCGTGAAAGGAGATGGAGGTGCTGTTGGACTGACAGAAAACCCATCAGCACTCAGGCGATGGATGGTTGCAGGACCGGAGGTGTCAAGAATGATTCAAGAATTTGAACATATCAGAAGGAATCAAGAAAGTGACAAACATCATGAACAAGCAGCAGCTGTACAGATGACATTTGCAAAGGAGGTTTCATCGCTTGTAACTGTAATGAACGACATGGGGAATCCTTTCAGTGAGGACAGTGGTGATCTCTTGACACTAGATACCAGGGACATTATGGACTCTGATGTAGTGGAGACGATCAGAAATGGATGCAAAGCAGGCAGGGAGCAATACGAACATTTTGTAAAAGAAAGGTTTGCTGACAGATCAAAACTAATAAAGGAACCAATAAAGAAGAACAAGCTGCCACTGTTTTCAAGACGGAAGACTCCTCCTCCAAAGAAGACTCATGTTGCAGCACTCAAGGGCGACTGTGCTCTGTTTTCCAGGTTGTACATTGCATGTCAGTCAAGAGAAGGAAACCTTGAAGATTTCTTCAAGCATGAAAATCAGCCATGGCCTCCATCATTGTCCAAGATTGGAGAAATTAGATCTGGCAACAAAGCAGACCTTCTTGTACAACTTGAGCATTTACAAGCGGAGACACCAAATGCTACTCCAAAAGTTTCTGCAGCGATACTTGATGGTCCCATGATTGTGCAGATGCTTCATCCAAGAACATCTATAACATTTCAAGACTATATCCAGAATGTATTTCTACCATACATTTTCCAGTATCTTGAACATG